TGAACCCGCAAGGCACGCAAATCTCGTGGGTTCGCTGGATGGCTGCCTAATTACTTTCCAAGCCCCCATCCATAATTCTGTTATCTTTTTCTCTCTCTCCTCCTTTTCCTCTTTTATCCGTTTGCCTCTTCGGTGCCTGTTTTTTCAACTCAACAGAATTCCTCTCTCGAATTCCCCCCCCCCCCCCCCCCCCCCCCCCCCCCCCCCCCCCAACTCTTGTTTTCACTTGGAGAATCGGGAAGGTCCTCTCTCAGATTCGTACAAAAACAAATTTCGCGTGCTACTCTTGGCGGCAAATGGTGATGATGTCGTCGTCCATGGAGGAATCCTGCTCCCGTGCTCTCCTTCTCTCCATGGCTCGCGTTTCCCTCTCTGTCGCCGTACGAACGAGACGGTCCCCGACCATGAATTCTCGGATACCCCTGCCTCAACGAATACCTACGCCTAGCGCCTGCTGAAAATCTTCTGGTTCGCTCGTTGTTGCTCTTCGTCTTCTTACGGTTCAATTTCGCTTTCGTTGTTTTTCACTCTGTTCGCGATCGTTGAATTTGAGAAATAGTTAGGGTTTCGGAACCGATAATTTCTGGCTGACCGGAGGAAAACATTGGTTGATTGGTGGAATTCAGTGTTTCCTTGGTTTCTACTTGGAGATTGATGAACTCTTAGGGTTGTTGAAGTCGTTTCTCCGCTGTGGTCTGCCGTTCAGAACGCTGAATATCAATTTGTTCTGAGTTGTTGATATTATTACGTAGTTACTTTTAGAGTCCGAGTTTCCTACTAGGTAGAAGTTGAATTTGGGCGCTAGGGTGTTAGGGAGGCGTCGGAGAGAGGAACCAGGTTTCTTCTGCATGGCTGGAAGGTGGGAAGTGGGGTTGCCAAAGAGTGGCGCATGTAATTTGAAGGACCAGCTGGTGAAAGCCACTCTTCAGAGAGTGAGGTCACAGGGACACCCCTATGTGGAGCTTCGTGCAGACGGGAAGCGATACATATTCTTCTGCACCCTGTGTCTCGCACCGTGCTATAGTGATTCGGTGTTGCTTGATCACTTGAAGGGAAATCTTCACATGGAAAGGTTGTCTGCTGCTAAGGTTACTCTTCTCAAACCAAACCCTTGGCCTTTCAGTGATGGTGTTCATTTCTTTGATACTTCTAGCGACGGTGGTACTAACCTAGACGCCAAGGAGAGTTGTAAGAGTAAGCCGTTAGATCCCCAGAACAATTCTGACAACCTCGCCATTGTTGCATATGGTGACAATGTGAACCCTGGCAATGATAATCAAAATGGTCTTGCTGTGGTTCCTGGTTGTAAGGTTTTAAATCATACTGGAGGGAGCTGTGATCTGTTGGTTCCTGGTGTTCTTATTAAGGAAGAAGTATCTGATTTGAAGGTTAGGTTTATAGGGGACGGACTGATTGCTGCAAGGTTCCGCAACAAGGATGAGGTTTCAGATGAGATTAGCAGAATATGGTGTGAATGGTTGGGGAAAAAGGGCAATGAAAGCAAAACCGTGGAACATGATTTCTCTGTTATTACTTTCTCTTACAACTACAGTTTGGCGAGAAAGGGATTGCTTGATGATGTCAAGTTGCTTCTCACGGCGCCTCCAGTGGCAGGTGAAGTCACTGTTAGGAAAAGAAAGAAATCCTTCTCTGATCCAGAAGATGTTAGTGAGTCTCTGAGCCAGAGTAACCAATATGATTCATCCGGTGAGGAGTCTTCTGCTTCAAATGGTGCCTCACCTAAATTGCTCTCAGACCGAGATGACTCGTTGCTGCAATCTAGGTTTCTGTCAAGCAAGACTGTAAGGCGTGAATTGAGAAAGCAGCAGCGTTTAGCAGCTGAAAGATTGTGCGACATATGTCAGCAGAAGATGCTCCCTGATAAAGATGTCGCAACGCTTTTTAATGCGAAGGCAGGAAAACTTGCTTGCAGCAGCAGAAATACAACCGGGGTAACAACCTTTTTTCAATGTGCTATGGTTATATCCAAACTTTTGTTTTAACTTTATTGTGGCCAAGCATAGATGCCTGCTCGTGCTAGTTACATGTGACACTGAAATGATAGTTTTTCGTGGACATGTACCTGTAGGCTGTAGGGAAAGGTCCACTAATCCTTCAGACTTATACATTTTTTCATCAAGTGTGCAGAACATTATTATTGTGTTTTAGCTATAACTGCTCTCCTTTATTTCCTCCTCCAAAAGGAAATGGAAAAACAAAAAACTTGTAATGTGAACTGTGGCCGCTCAACGCTGTACCTGGATCCATAGTGTACCTTTTCACAGTTATTTTCATTTTGAACAGGCATTCCATGTGTTCCACTCTTCCTGCCTCATTCTTTGGATATTGCTGTGTGAACATGAAATGCTCACTAACAAGCCAGACGGTTCAAAACCGAGACGGAAATCTAGGAGGAAGAACATTGGCAAACAAAATGGAAGGGGAAAACTTGCAGATGTGAACATTCAGAAGGCCCAAATTAGGTCTGTGTTCTGCCCAGAGTGCCAAGGAACTGGTGTGGAAGTTGAAGGAGATGAGCTTGAGAAACCAGCTTTCCCCCTTTCAGAGGTTTGCTTTCACTTTCTATTCAATGCTATATGTATATTGTTATTATTGGTGCTTTCTCGGTAATGATTCCCGTACGATGGAGTGAATAAGGGACAACTGTTCTATTGTCAACCTTTTCTTCCATCTTCCCCTTTACCCTTGGGGACCATGTTTTATCGAATATGGTTGTTTTTTTTTAATTGAATATGGTTGTTAAAAAAAAATGCAGCACTGGTCTACAGGCATTTCCCGAGAGTGGAAGCCTGGCAGTGAAGATATCCATGGATTATCATCTCACTTGCCAAGTTGTTGACTGTTAAAATCCAACTGTTTTCCAATCTCATCTGCTAAGTTGCGTGAACAATCTCTCATGAGCATCTCTTTCTCCAGTTGATGCCTTGGACTTGGTTACTTTTTATTTGTTCAGATGTTCAAATACAAGATGAAAGTGAGTGACGGACGTCGAGCATGGATGAAAAGCCCAGAAGATCTGGAGAACTGTTCTATGGGGTTTCACTTTCCTTCCCCGTCTGAAGAAACTTTGCAGGTGTGCACAGCTGTTGGTTATAAACCAGTGTGGGAAGCGAAGCGATCATTTACTAACCCGGTGCTTCTCGAATGTTGTTGTCACAGGAGGAGGTTTTAGCGCTGAAATCACTGCACTTCTACCGATCAGATGGATAGAGAGGGAGCGTACATAACAACACTAGTATGGCAGTGACAAGATGGTGGATGGCGGTCCTTTGAATTGACTCTTTTAAGTTTCAGGGTTTGATGTAAATTTCCCTGTTGTCGCTTTGACTAGAAGTCTGTAAAATGTTGTAGAGGTGACTTGTGATGAACTCTTATTCACAGAGACTATATAGACAAGTTGGACTTATTTTGTGCGAGGCGATCGGGAACTGGGTAAGGTAAGGGAATGTGAATGTGGTAGATTGATTGACACTGTCCTTACTGTAATCAAAATTCCTCGTTGGCAATGAATTCGGTCTTGGAATTTCTGTATTCTGTTGTGCCCAAATAATTTTGTATTGGTGAAAAGAGGGATGCAAGGGGCGCCCTAACCTAACCGGTATTATTAATCGATCGGGATTCAGTGATCCCCATAACATTATAGTTGGTCCAATTACATAAGAGTAGGATCCGTACAGTTCCTAACTAAAGATTCCAATTCCATCGATAGTTGGTCTTAATAGATATGAACTATTCGTATAGCGCGGAGTTCTTGTTATGCATGCCCTTGGTTTGATGCAGCAGGGCGGCGTGTCTATGTTGTTCATCCTGTGGTTGCTGTAACTAATTTTGGTTAACTCGAAATCTTGCTTTATTCAATAGTGGTAACTGGAGTTTTGACTTGACAACGCTAAAAAAAAGCGAGTGTTATCCACTGGTGTATTTGTTTGTTAGTGTTTATCTTAATTGAGTTGTGAATCATCCCCTCCGGCGGTCGGCTGGCTGATGGTTGGTTTTAGGTAACACATGATGATGAGATGAGCACAGCAAATGAGCAGAGAGCAGGGCTGCCACGGGGAAGATGTCCCGTTATTCTTTCCCATAATTAAGCTTGGGTTCCACATGTAGTGTAACCTCACCTCGGGGGAGTGATGTGACACAGAAGATAATTGTTTTTTTGGATCAGAAAGCCCAAGTGATGGATGGATAGTATTATTAGTATCTGACTCCTGGGGTTGGTCTGCTGCTGTTTTTGGAGGGAGGTAGTTGTAATGTTGCGAGGATAAACATGTGTGGTTGTCTGTACAAAAGAGTACTTGAAAGTAGCATTTGGACTGCAGAAGGGTAATACTATACTATACTATAATATAATATACTTTGTGGTTGGTGCTACTGCACATGCTAAGCAGGAACCATGGGGAAAGAATTTGCAGGCTGGCTGTTTAGTATGATGATGATCGTGATTGTATTCCGTTGGCATAAGAAATGGAAAGGGCTCCCTCCATTTGTCAACTCCAAAGGATCGAGCCTTCATCCACCCCATCCATAATCGATCGTGGGGTAGTCGATTCTACTCGGTTATGACCAAGTTTCTCATCAAAACAAACATTACTTAATATATCAAACTAACTATGTATTGTTGGATGAGATGAAGTCAATGGTTTGTTTACGCATGGAAGGATGTGACCCTCTCACCTAACCCCTCTGCCTCCAAAACTATTATGACTCCGTGTTGTTTGTATTATGAATCCTTCTTCACTTCCCATGACGGAGCCCCATTATATCTGTCCATTTTGAATTGAATTCCCTCTGCCGGCTCCAACTCCAAACCCTCGAATCCCACTTTCTGTTTTCCGTTCCTGAATTCACACCCCACAAATCCCAGTTGACAAAGCCGGCTTCCCATTAAACAAATCCCAAGTCCTGCTAATATTCCCCTCCTTCTTACCCACCACCACACACACATATAAATACACACATACATACAAACACAGATAGCAACAAACATCCAGAGTCCTTTCCTTCCTCCTACGTTTTTGGGGGTTACAAAAAACCAATCATCACATACATACATACAATGGCGGCTTTCAAGGTTACTACTAGGAACCACCAGCAGCAGCAGAAGAAGAAGAGCTCTTCCTGTCTCTGCTACTTGCTCAAGTTGTTGATGGTTGTGGGCTTGCTTTGTGCTCTTATTGGGTCGACTGACGCGGCCCGGCCCGTGCCGGCCGATCATCATCATCAACGGCGGGAGGTGGTTGTTGTTGTTGCGGCGGCGGTGCCAGGAAAGGGAAAGGGGATGAGTGAAGAAAGTGTGAGGGGACTTGTCACAATGCTGCCTAAAGGAGCTCCATTGCCACCTTCCGGCCCCAGCCCTGGCATCAACTGATGTCTGATGATCATCATCGATTCATCATCTTCCACCTCCAATTTTGGACTTCTTTATTCAAATTCCCAACCTCCCTTTCGTTCTTTTTTTTACCCTTTTACACCTTATTATGACAATCGATCAGAGTTGTAGCTGCAGAAAGAGTATTGGTTAATTATAACTAGCTAGGTTATACAAGCTTAAGTATAGACAGAGAGCTTCATCAATGTTTCTCGTTTGACTAGAGTTATTTGTTATTCTTTTCACCCCATGTCATGCAACACAAAGATTAATTGCAGATTATGAGCTATACTTACATTCACCATTTTTATTGTTCTTGTTAGTTACTATTTCTCGTTGCTTGATGCTTCTCAATGGTATCTCACCCTCTGAAATATAAGTATTACTTTTTATTCTAAGAGAACTAGCCAACCGAAAAGATCTTTTCGATTAGTTGAAATGATCCACGTATCCTAGCTACAATCAAATCAAATTATCCTAGCTACAATCAATTAATACACTAAGACAGTACCAATTAACCGATTTAGTTAGTTTGCATCGAACGGTCAAAATCGCGGTTGAAATTCCACAACTTATATGCATGTTTTGATCATATATGAAGACAAAAAGACACCTAGTGGTAGGTGGATTTCTTTGCTATAAAACTAACCTTTACCCTTGAGCAGTGGCAAGAATCTGAAGGGGAATTATGCCATTTGTGTCTATTTTGATGGGCTGCTAGCTATTTTACAGGTCAGTTAATTTGTTGATGGGTACATATGGGATGCTGCAGCAGCTGCATGACATGAGAGCATCTCCCCCTACCCTACCCAAACGAAGCTGACTTTTCATATTGTAAACAATCATTTGACCAAAAAGGGAGGAAATCATGTAACCTAATTAATTAAATGATCAAATTATTTATTATTAAAGTATAAATAGAGATGGAACAGAGTAACTGTAGCTCCGGCAGCAGAATGGCTGACTCTAACAAAACAAAACAAAAAAAAAAAAAATGTATTTTAGGAAATGCAATGAATTTGTCCCATTTGGACGTTATCTGTTCCCGTGGTGCTGTGCTGTGCTGTGCGCTTCTTCACCGTCAGGACTAAGGATATCATAAACATATTTTGCTGTGCTGTGCAGCTCCGGCAGCGGAAGGGTAAACACGATCTCAAACTAGGTGAAAATGGATACTATATCGGTATTCCAGTACGAAATACCGAATATTACTTTAAATTTAATCCTGATCATAATCCCAAAACAAATTTGATATTACAATTCCTAAAATTTTGTTCGGTATCGGTATACGCCAAATATGAAATTAATTATCTTCAAAATTACAAATAAAATATACAAACACAAATACTTCTCCTCTGCGAGCAGCTCCACAGACCATTCTACAAATAATTAAAAACAAACAATAAGTCCAACACTCTTGCAAAAAAAATGAGAAAAAACTCTCAAGTATGTTAACAACAAACTAGAAAAATATGACACTTAAGAAGCACATTAATAAACAAAGGAACAAACTAAAACAGTGGAGGAACCCATATCACCAGTCAACTCCTTTCCCACTACCCAACCCAGTTTAACCATATCTTCCGCTTTCCTTTGTCTGAAACCCTCCAATGTTCCTCGCAAAGTTTCTCCCTCTCTTCTGTGTCTCTCTCTAAACCCAATGAAAGAGAACGGCAGTGACCTCCGGGTTTTCGGTGCCAAGAAATTGGTTCAATTAGCATGGATTCGATAACAACGTTGGAGAGTATGCACACTCAAGCGAGGGGAGTGGACAACCGTGTCACAACTTCCGTTGAAATCAAAGATACAAGCAAAGGTTAGTGATGTTCTGTGTCTTTGAAATGGTGGATGGGTACAAGTGATTTTAATATTTTTTACAGTTTCTGTTTCTAATTGCTTCTATTTGTTTTCTGAGTTTTGTTTCAACCCACTTGGGTAACAGTTATTCTGAATGCTATTTGTTGCTTCATGGGTTTATATTTGGTTTGCTCTTTGTCTTCTTCGCTGTTCTCCTATTCGGGCTCTAAGTCCGGCTAATACAATCCAACGAAGTTTATGCTTGATGCCTCGCTTTACACTTTCACAAGATGGGTTATGCACTTATGCTATTATCGTTGGCTGCAAATCTAATGATGTTTGACATTTTTATTCCAGTTTCAAACACCAGATGGACTTGGGCAAAATAGAGAAGTTCTGGTGGAGGGTTGTAGGACGAGCCGAAGAGCATTATGTAATAAGTTTGTCATTGAAAGGTTAAGAATTAACCAATTCCCTCTATTTTCATGTGTTTGTACCAAAAACAAAAGAGTTGTGTTTAGATTACTTTTAAACTTTTTCTATTGAAAATTTGTATTTTTTCCTCTCATTTAAGCTTGCAGGATTCGTTCTTAGGCATATGGTAAGTGTTCTTTCTTCCTTAACGATTGCAGAATTGTATAAGATCATCAGGTTAATGGTAATTAAAATTACCACCATGCTCTTTTACTGTTGGTATCTTCTTTTTGATTTTTGCTTGGTGATGGTGTTGTGTCTTATCTGGTATGAGGCGACTCATACCTTGCTTTGCACAACTCTCATTTCTGTGCAGTTCCTTTCTCTTCTCTTTAATGCTATTCACTATTATTATTATTATTATTATTATTATTATTATTATTTTGCATGGTTTGATTGCTATATTGAGAATTGCTTTAAATATTCATGGTGAAAGATGACCTTTTACGATGAAGAGAAGGCAATTCCTTATCCAAATTTGTTATGCCATGACCGTCAATAAAAGCTAAGATCAGGCTCTCGATGGAGCTGGAGTGTTCTTGCCCAAATATGGTTTTTGTTATCTCAGTTATATATCGTCATTTCTCCGTTGTGATCATTTGTGGGCATTGATTTGTCCTTGAATGGTAACTTTGCACCCAAATGTCTTGCATTGTAAACCTTGCTGCTTATGAAATTTCTCTGATGTTCATGCCAAACTTTTATGTTGTAACAGGTTCTGATGTCCCAACCCTGACACCCTGTCCAATTGATGTGATCTTGGGTGCTTGACTGCTTGCTTATTATTTATGGTTGGTTCTTCAAGTGAGAAGGCAAGTGAGAGTATTTCTATTATCCAATAACCACTTGCAATAAGGTTTGCATGCTGACTCTTCCAATTAATTCTGTTAGTAAACCCAAAACTGTGGTGGAACAAGGAGGTAAGCACTGTCTTGACTTCTCCTAAGATCTCTCCTTCGTCACGTAAATAACCCAAAACAATGGTTTAACCAGATAAAACCAGCAAGCCTTCTCAAGACATTTTTGGTGCCCGAAAAATGCCCTTTGCAGATGAAGAGCAGGTAATTTTTCTCAGCAACTCCAGTAGCGGAGACAAGATGCTTGAGGTTTGGAATGAATTCAGAAACATAGGTAAGTTTTCTTCTTCTATTTGAATGTTCTGGCCTTTTGGGATACTGAATTCTTTTGTTAGTTTTGTTTGATTGGAGTGCTTCATTAAGTGCTTGATTGATTCATATTGGTTATGGACAAAGGAGTGCAACAGTGAGAATAGGAGATGAAGGGACTTGGAAGCTTAGTCTACCATTTTCTGCTACCTATTTCTTAATTTGGTGCATCGATTTCAGTATAGTATGCAAAGATTTCTGGCTCACCTGGAATGGTGTCTCAGTTGCTTTGCATCAATTTTTTAGTTCAGTTTTTTAGTTCAATATTTCAAGTTCATTCATAGCAGTTTGAAATATAACGTGTGAACTTTTTCTGCATGGTACAGGTTCTAGCTCCAAAAGTGCATAGGAAAATGACGCCTGAGGGTGGATTACATGGAACTGACGAAATTGTTTATGGTTTCGCACGAGATAAAAACTACACTTAATGGATTGTGAGAGCAACTTTACACGACTTATTCCAAAATTGCTCAAATTTTGAATTGTAAGAGGTCTTCAGACATTGATCGGAGTGGTTAGGAGAGAAATCGTTCTTTTCTTTTCAATTTGGAGGTTGGTCTCGCCTGTGTAATAAATTCCTTTTGTTGATTGTCAATTTCAGCAATCTTTTGAAGCCATTTTGTCAAACTCATAATCTATTCATGTTACTGTGGTGGATATTAGAAACTTCAAAATCAAGTTTAATGAGAAGCTTTCTGGGAGATGTTATTTTAAGGCTATAATGGGAAGTTCATGTATTGCTTCGGATGATAATTAAGCTCTCCTTTGTTGGAAGATGCCCTTTCATGTGTCATCTAATCAATGTAATATACTCACTGTATCTGCTTCCTTTTCGTTGTTGCGGATATTAAGTTCTCCTTTCAAAAACTCATTTTCTCATACTGTGATGTGCAAGCGCTATCTTTAACCAGTTGAGGCAGACAATTGAGCATTCTTTTAGTACTGTTTTTAGTGTGATGTTGCTCCCATTGCAAGTCACCTACACAACCTTCTCACTACTTATTACAAGATGATATTGTTGCAACTTAAGTCCCCGCGGCGTAGCCGTGGGTGTTGATTCTAGTCAACCTTTACTATCAGGTTGGAGATTTTCATAAACTCGACCCTTTACTCGAACAGATGCAGAAAGAGGGGATTCCCCATGATCAGTACACAAGAAACAACCTAATCTCCCTCATAAAAAACCCCCCTAATCTCTGCTTATTCTGCTGCATCTAACATTCCCCGGATGGAAGAAATCATCAATCAGATAGAGGAGAATCCTCATGACTCTGGTGGTGTCTCTTGGGATGCGTATCCAACAGCAGCAAGCGGGTATTTAAATGTCGGGTTGACCGACAAGGCCTTAGCAATGTTGAAGAAAGCAGAGGAAAAGATGCCCAATCACCGGAGGGCCACTGCTCTGGAGTTTCTTCTTACTCTATACACCAAGTCTGGTGATAAAGGTGAGGTTTATCTAGTTTGGAATGCATATAAGCCATAAAGCTTGTTAGGAACAGAACAACAACAAGAACGAGGTTACCGAATCTGGAGCTGAGTGGCGGACTAGGTCGCTCTCTTTAAGACGTTCGCGGCACTGCCTTCGATGCGCATGACAGACTATCAACCGGTCGTCTCCAGGATAAAACAACTCCTCTCAATACTCGCGGTTTTGTGCGTAAACCCGAGTTCTCTGAACACTCTCTCTATTGTGTTTATGCTCGTTATTCTTTTTTTAGGGTTAGGCAACTCATCTATTTATATAGGATGAGACCTTCAACCTTCCCCTCTTGGTGGAGGATTTGAGAATCTACTTAAGGAAGGAAATCAAGAGTAATAACTCCTGATTATAGCTTTCTTTAATGCAGACAATTAACCCGATTGATAAAAGTTTCCTTTAATACCAGAAATCAATCCGATTGATTGAAACTTTCCGTTAGTATGGGCAATTAATCTGATCATTAAAGATTCCTTCAAAATGGAAAATCAACCCAATTGATTGAACTTTCCGTTAATTCGGTCAATTAATTCTGATTGAGGAAACGTTTCCTTCAATACGGAAAATTAATCCGAATTAACTTCACTTACCTTTTTCAAGGACTTTCCTTTAGTTATTTTTACAAACTATTCACATTTCTCAACAATCCCCCACTTGAATAGTTTTGAAACTATCTCTGAGCATTAACAGTTCCATAAGATCGGGCATAAGCTAAGGTATCGCAAAGATTTGAACCTTAGCGTAGTGGTTACACTTCCGATTTCATAAGGGTGACTCGTAGTCTTGAACCCTATCTCAGACAGTGTAGCACACCGGATCTTTTCATTGAGTTGTGTTCTCTTCTTAGCCCGTGCGTTTATGGCCATTCACGTTATCCCGGTTTAGTGAACGCTCTAGCAACTTTGTGCCTCCAAAGTTCCATAGGGAGCGGCCCCACACCCACATTCACATAGGTGAGTCTATCAGGAGTACCCCCAAAGTAAAGTACTCCACCCCACATAGGGTACAGATCTCATTAAGAGTTATTAACTCAACCTCCATTGCTTTGGGATTCATGCTTCACTATGCATGAACTTTTCGCATACTACTCATGACTTGTTATTACCCATTGAACCCATTTCTTGGGATCTCCAGTCTATTGGGTCGGGTTACCATCACTTGTAGTCCGTGGTTCGGTAGGCATAAGTCCCATACCCTTGGCGGTATTCTGGAATTTCTCTCTAGGTAATCCTTTCGTCAAAGGATCAGCTAGATTCTATTCGGATCTTATATGATCGCCCTCACTGCTCCTATCGTTAGGAGTTCTCTTACAGTACTGTGTTTACGACGAATCTGTCGTTTCTTTCCGTTATAGAACCGGTTCTCAACTTTAGTGATAGCTGCGGTACTATCACAATGTATCAATACCGGAGGGACCGGCCTTTCCCATAGGGGAATCTCTGATAATAGTCCTCTCAACCAACTTGCTTCTTCACTAGCCGTTGCTAGTGCTATCATCTCTGATTCCATAGTTGATTGAGCTAGGATTGTTTGTTTCTTTGACTTCCAAGATACAGCTCCACCAGCGATGTTAAAAACATAACCGCTGGTTGCCTTGGAGTCATCCGATAGGGTATTCCAATCCGCATCACTATACCCTTCTAGTACAGCAGGAAACCTTTGATAGTGTATACCAAGGTTTGTTGTTCTCTTGAGGTATCTCATGACCCTCTCTATAACATTCCAATGCTCTCTACTAGGACAGTTGTTAAACCTGCCAAGCAATCCCACGACATATGCAATGTCTGGTCGAGTGTAATCCGCAGCATAACGGAGACTGCCAATGATGCTAGCATATTCTGATTGTCTTACACTGTCTCCAGTGTTCTTAAATAGCTTTACACTAGCATCATACGGATTACACGCAGGTTTACAGTCGAAATAGTTATATTTCTTCAAGATCTTCTCTATGTAGCTAGATTGATCTAGAGAATAACCATTTGTTGTTCTAGTTATCAGGATTCCAAGCATAAACTTTGCTTCTCCCAGATCTTTCACCTCAAAGCTCTCTTTCAACATGGCTTTTGCTTCATTTCCACATGAATATTTGTACCAAATATCAACATGTCATCTACATACAAACATATGATAGTGCAAGTGTTATTTTCTGACTTGCAGTAAATACACTTGTCACTTTCATTCACTTTAAAGCCATGTGAGAGAACGAGAGTGTCAAACTTCTCATGCCACTGTTTTGGAGCCTGTTTCAAACCATATAATGATTTGTCTAACTTACAGACTTTCGAGGCATGTTCGGGGATAACAAACCCTTCTGGTTGTTCCATATAGATTTCTTCATCCAAATCACCGTTCAAAAAAGCGGTCTTAACATCCATTTGGTGTACCATAAGATTGTTCAAGGCAGCAAGAGCAATCATTACACGAATGGATGTTATTCTTGATACTGGTGAATAGGTATCAGAGAAATCTATATTCTCTCTCTGCCTGTAGCCCTTAACTACTAGGCGAGCTCGGAACCTTTCGATTGCACCATCAGGTTTCCGTTTCGTTTTTAGAACCCATTTATTACCTAAGACTTTGCATCCAGGAGGTAAGTCTGTTAGATGCCAAGTCTTATTAGCTTCTAACGATTCCATTTCATCTATAACAGCCTCATTCCAAAAATCTGCATCTATGGAAGTTAATGCTTCCTGCAAACTTTTTGGATCTTCGAGGGTGAATACTGTAGTAAAGTCATCACCAAAATCTTTAGAGATCATAGCTCTTTTACTTCTTCTGAGTTCATCCTCAGAACCAACACCCCCACTAGTTCCGTTATCTCTAATAGCGGGTAGTACATTACACCACGATTTCTCGTTTTAAATGGAAATCGTGTCTCAAAGAAATCAGCATCAATGGATTCTACTATAGTACGAGCATTCAAATCATAGAATCTATATGCCTTACTATTGGACGCATAGCCAACGAAGACACATTCATATGCTCGACTAGCCAATTTAATCCTCTTAGGATCCGGAATTCTTACGTAGGCCAAACAGCCCCACGTTCTTAAATAGGATAGATTAGGTGGCTTATTCTTCAAGATCTCATAGGGTGATTCTTTTCTATTTGTTTTTGGAAGACGGTTTAGCACATAGCAAACCGTCAACAAAATATCACCCCACCAAGAAGAAGCAGCTCCAGAATTGAGCATAATAGCTGTAACATCCCGTTCCGGCAAAACCCATATTTCGATCGCTAGAAAGTTCGCGATTTAAAATCGAGCATTTCGACACTATTTCGGCGAAAATCGGATTATCGATCGATCGGATAAGTATACGTATTAATTATATATATATACTCTCCGTCCATTTAATTCACATCATCATCGTTTATTTCCATTTTTCACCGAGAGATCAAAAACCAGAGCGAGCGGAGAGAGCTTTCAGGGGAACGTCGGGGGAAAAACTCCAAGGCTCGATTCTTGAGCATAAGTGATCCAAAAATCCCGTAAGTAATGCCTAATTCATCTATACATCGTGATTTATCGATTTAGAGCTTTAAAACGAGTTTTTGGTTCAGGAATTTCTTGAATTCCCGATAAGCCAAATTAGGGTTTCGGAGTATCCGGAAGCCGGATTGAGCCCAAATTTCATATACGAGCTCACTGCAGCGAGGTAATCAATCCTCTAGTTCTAATCCCTGAATTTCGGCTATTATTTAGGCCGGGGTCCAAACCGCTGAATTTAGCTCCGGCCAAGGTTTGATGTGTTTTTATCGAGAATTTGACCCGGAGCCTAGAACTAATATTGACGGGGATACTGCAGGGGATATTAGGGCGGTCTCGGATTTTAATTCGGGGTTCGTTCGTGAAATTGACGTTTTAGTACGGGAAGGTTAAACCGGTGTTTGAACGACCAGAACTGGTGAGGGATTAGCACGGCATACCGGGTTTGTCGTATCACGATAATTATATTGATGCTTAGAATTGACCTAGGTGAACTAGAATGGCATGATTAGGGGTGTATGGACTTTTGTGCTATATGATGAACCCTGGACTACTGTATGATATTATTGACTTGCCCTAATCGATATGAACCTTGTTTATGTGGATGATTGCCTACATGTTGCCATTTGTGGCTTAACTGTTGATATGACTTTATGGTTGTTCGATAAGGGTTTTTGACATGGTGTGATTTTATGGTTGTATTTGGATCCATAAGTGGGGGAATAAACTTCCCAGGGTGATATTATGATGTTTAAGGAAGATGACTTGCACGAGGGTTTATCCCGAGGAAGTGCAATTATACGACTCCTGATTTACCTATGTTGGGCCAATTATGGCCAGGTCAAGTACATGTGCAAGTAACGAATTATGATTAAGCAAGATGAGATATGAATCATGTACAAGGATACCAAATATGAGTGTTGTGGTCTCACGGTCAACTACATAGTAATTAGGGCTCCCTATGCTATTACTCTATTATGATATGTATGATAGTCACACCTCTCATGTGGTGGTGACTGAAGAATTCTTACGAGATATGACCACACCCAGAGCGGTGTCGGGGTATGACTACACCCATAGTGGTGTGGGGTATGTATGACCACATCCGACGGGATGTTGGGGTATGTATGACTACATCCGACGGGATGTGGGGTATGTTTCCCGGGAGAGTTATTAGCATGGGAGTAGCCAGGCGCCTATAAGTAAAACATGATAAGATGCATATGCATAAGTCAAGGTGGTTGAGTCTTTTGCCTATTGGGATGTCAGAGAGCTGAGATATGATCCCAGTGCTTTGGCTTGTTTGCTAGATGTATGGTAGGGGTATGCTCTGTTATGAACTCACGATGCTATGATTATCTCACTCAGCTATGAGCTGACCCTCTTTTATTCTTCTTCTCTGCTTATGCTATGTGTAAGCAGATCATCAGCAGCAACAGTAGATAAGTGTTAGGTGGGAGAGGAGCTAGAGTTGAAGCCAAGATGAGGTATGGTCTTCAACTATTCTGTGCTTGGACTA